CGAAGGCGTCCGTAGTGGTGGTAATGGGCGGAGGAGGAGGAGGAGGAAGAGGAGGGGGGAGCGCGGCAGAGCGGGCGGGGCGCTAGAGGGGGACGCGGGCGGAGGCGCGGTGTACGCAGGCGGTGGCGGGCACGAGCCCCGCGCCTGGAGGAGGAGGAGCCAGGCCGGGGGTGGGGGAAGAGCTAATGAGGTTTCCCTTTTACGCAAGGACCCCCCACACACAAACACCCGACCCGGGTAACTGCCCGCCGGGCACCTGCAGCGGCACAGCCCCGAGCGGCGGCGGGCGCCTGGAGCGCCGCTCCTCACGTCCACGCCGTGCAGGACGAGCGGAACCCACGCGCAGCCCCGGGCTGCTCCCCCAGGGCTACTCCCCGCGGCCGCCTGCTGGGGCTCCTCGGAGGCCCGCAGGTTCCTGGGGGGCTGCCGGGGGGTGTCCGTGCGCTGTCAGGAATGCAGAGTATCTGCGCTGCCCTAGCTCCCTGGCGCCGCGCCGGGTCGTCTGCCCCTCAACATCCCCTTGCTCCGGAGCGACGTGGCTGCCTGGAAGAGGTAAAGAGGTTTCGCTCCCGCTGGAGGGCGAAGGGACTAATCACGCCTGTACTTAGTCATCAGCTCATCCACGCAGGACCAAGTTCAACGCATGTTGCGTGGAATCTGACAGCAGGAAGTATTTTTGTGGTGGTTTTGTTTATTGGATTTCCTGAGCCCTCTTGATGAAGCCACTTCATTCTTCCAGGCTTCTGCAAGCTAAGAACAATTTCCCCTCAAATCTCTTAGGGCTAGAGTCTTTCCAGTAGCAAATCTGTAGAGTATATTTGCAGATTATACACCTTGGGAAACTTTGCGCTCATTCTCACCAGTTCTTTCTCCCTTCTTCTTTCGGCAGGCATCGTCCCTTCCACTAACTCAATCAACACCTCTAAAAAGTTTACATTACCCTCCAGCAAAAGAAGATCGGTGCTTCAACCACCTCTGCAATTCATTCCCGGTGGGGGGGGCGGGGGAGGGCAGAAAGCAGAGGTTGTAACAGGGTTGAGGTTTCCTTCCTTTAGGGCTTTTTGGTGCTAAAGGGACCTGTTGTAATTCCAATGCATTCGTTCTCGTTCAGCGCTGTGTATTTAATCTGTCTCATTTCTCTTTTATCTGAGGTGATAAAATTCAAACGTGCAACTTGAAAAAACAACAAACAAAAAGAGACACTTCTCTGTTATAGAATGCCATGCACATTTTACTAAGACAAAGCAGAGCAGGTGTTTATCTCCTCAAGAAGTTACAAATGTTAGGCACTTTTAAAGGAAGAAAAAGAAAGATAACTTATGCTGATGTGTTTCTGTCATCTTACATTCAGAGTCATTATGCGCCAAACACTTCAGTTTCCTTAGTTATGCACCAAAAAATCAGATGTTTTTCCTAGATGGTGTGGTTTTCATAACAGACATAACTAATCTACAGTAAATTTTAGCTTTGCTTTGAAGTTGGTGTGAATACAGTAAGAAGAATATTTACATTGTAAATATTTTCAAGCTGTCCTTTTTAACCTTTTTAACCACTTTCTGAATGAGTATTTAATATGCTGCAACCTAAACAAACATTTGCTCTCCTATTCAGTTGGCTCTGTGAAGAACAGAATACCACCCAGCTTTCTCCATCATTAATATTCCCTTCCTGACTTTCCCATTGCAGAGTCTAATTGAAATTCACAGAGATAAAAAGCATGCCATTTAAAACCTTGCAACCAGGAGATCTAAACATCTTTCACTTGGCATGAACACTTCGCTTTCTACTGTATTTTCCATTTCTAGGAGTCAATCTTCATTAAGATCTCCATCACTTCTCTATTTATATTCCTACTAAATGGTTTATATTTTGACATTGGAAGTTAGGCAGTGCAGGGCTTCTTCCCAGCCTTAATTGTTATGCTCTAAGAAAAATTCTCTTTCATGAATGTCACAATTTTTATAAATATCTTCATAGATTATTCTCATACTTATATCACTATAGGCGTTTCTCTGTATTCTAATACCAAATTATTTTAATTATCTAAAAATCTGTGTCTGTTGGAATAATTTGTTCTTAAAAATCAGCCTTTCCTACTGTTGTTAGGTGCCATTGAGTCGTCTGCTTCCCATAGTGACCCCGGCACAGAAAGAAACACTGCCTGGTCCTGTGGCAGCCTCAAGATCCTTGCTAAACCTGAGCCCATGGTTGCAGCCACTAGCACTTTTAAATTTACAATCCCATTCTACATAACCCTCTTAAATGGAACCTCACAAAGTTCAAGCTGTTTTTCTTTTCGTAATTGCTTGATTTCATAATTTGGTTTTTGAAGTGTATATGAGAAGGCCATATATTTCAAGATGCATTTGCTTGATAAAACCCCACAATAAAAACTAAATTAAAAAAAATCGTCATAAAACCTTGATTTTTGGTTCTTCCCCACAAAATGCTTTGCAATTTTACTGATGTTGCACAGTTGTGATTTAAACTTCAAACACTTTACAGGAAATGAAAATCAGAAAAGCAATAGGGAGTGGACCTGTACTTGCATTGCTTCTGCATGCTAGTATTTCACAAGATACTGTTCCAGCCAAATTTCTTCTAAATTTGTTCAGCTTCTCCAAATATCTGACAAATCCAACCTGATTTCCTTCCTCTATCTCTGTGATAGAGTTCAGGTGAACTGCCTGAGATTTGAGAGGCAGCCTGTGTGGGTAATGACTAAGCTCTTCCTACCCACTCCTTTTGGAGCATGTCCTAAGGCAACCAATCCTGTAGAAGAATTGACAACTAATTGGTTGCCAGTCAATCAGTTTCTATGGGCTAGAGGGGTACAAAGTCTTCCTTTTGAAACTGGTACAATTTTACTCCCAGAGATTGAAGTTTTGAGGTCACTTTTTGTATATTCCCCACCTTCAACCCTCAAGTTCCAAAGTAAATTTTCATGCAGGGGCCAAGAATAAAAGAAAGCTACAGTATATGGAGGATCATGGTTTTTCCTGATTTTTCTTTCCTGATTATCCATACTATTGAATCATTTTAAAGTCTATCACAAAAACTGTTCATATTTTTGAACAGGTAATTTATGGTGTTTTATTTTATAGGAACCACCTATAGGACACCACTAAGCCAGGAAATTATGCTCTTAGGTACCTTAGGGAGTTTAACTGATCTTTAAGTTTTATTCAAGATAATGTAAAAAGTATTGTATACACACACATACACGTATGTATGATTCAATCAGATAAATATCTGCAGTGACAATCAAAAGCATGAGATTTTTAATAAGGTAATAGCATTAAAAGATGTTTTTGTTGTTGTTGTTGTTGTTACTTTCCATCAAGTCAGTTCCATCCCATAGCAATCTTGTGTATAACAGAAAGAAATATTAGCCAGTTTTGTGCCATCCTCATAGAGTCACTGATATGTTTGACCTCATTGTTACAGCCTTTATGTCAGGGTCTTCCTCTTTTTCTTTTACTCTCTACTTTACCAAGCATGATACTCTTCTTCAGGAATTAGTCCCTCCTGATAACAATGTCAGGCGCTCTGGTGGTACTGTGGTTGAAGCATTGTGCTGCTAACCAAAAGATCAGCATTTTGAACCCACCAGCAACTCTACAGGAGAAAGTTGAGATAGTCTGCTTCTGTTAAGATTTACAGCCTTGAAAAACCTATGGGGCAGTTTTACTCAACTACTCTGGTAGCACACATAGTACCTAAAGCACTTGACTGCTAACCAGAAGGCTGGCAGTTTAAACCCACCAGCCACTCCTCAGAATGAAGGTTGGGCAATCTACTTCCATAGTGATACCGCCTCAGAAACCCAAGGAGGGATCGCTATGAGTTGGGACAGACTCAATAGCACCTAACAACAACAAATAAGGTCACTATGAGTCAGAATCGACTAGACAGCAGTGTGTTTGGTTGAGTTCTAATAGTATGCCCATAGTAAGTGCGGTGAAGTTTCACCATCCTCATGTCAGAGGATTAGTGCTGTAGTTCTTCCAAGACAGATTTATTTGTTCTTCTGGCCAACACTATCATTCAAAGGCATTGATTATTTTTCTGTCTTCCATATTCATTGCCCAGCTTTCAAATGTATATGAGGTGATTGAAAATACCATGGTTTGGGTCAGATTTACCTTAGTCCTCAAGGTGACATCTTTGCTTTAAAGAGGTCTTTTGCAGCAGAGATACCAAATGCGATAAATACATCATTGATTTCTTGACTGCTGCTTCCATGGACACTGCTTTTGGATCCAAGTCAGTATTTTCTCCATTTATCATGATGTCGTTTATTGGTCCAGTTGTAAGGATTTTTGTATTCTTTATGTTGATGTGCAATCCATACTAAAGATTCTAGCCTTTGAGCTTCATCAGTAACTACTTCAAGTCCTCTTCACTTTCAGCAAGCAAGGTTGTCTTCTGGGTATTGCAAGTTGTTAATAAGTCTTCCTCCAATCCTGATGCTGGCTTTCTTCTTCATACAGTCCAGCTTCTCAGATTACTTGCTAAATAAGTATGGTGAAAGGATTCAACCCTGACACACATCTTTCCTGATTTTAAATCATTACTTGAACAATTCCTCCTAGAAAGATCAGCACAAGGCTGGAACCCATAAGGCAGAGGTTAAAGATGTCCCAGATGTCCAAACTACCATGCCACTCCATCATTTCAGACATTAGCTCCTCCTCCTCTTCTCAGTAATCCCCCTCCTATCCTAGGGTTCTGTATTTCACTGTAACATTTCACAGTACTCACAGACACCCAAGGGATCATCTCAAATAGTGGTGTTGAAGGCTGGAAGCCTGGCAGACTGGAAAGTCCGAGGGCTGTAATTAAGTCTGGGGGATCCTCCCAATTCTTGGGATTTGACTAACCTAAATCAGCAGATCAGATGACAGCTGCTGTCTCAGATCCAGGGGTGAGATGATGATGAGCCAAAACACAGAACCAGAGCAAGAGAGAGAGTGAACCTTCCCAGAAGATTCCTACATATACCCTCAAGGAAGCTAAGGGTGGTGATTTGAGTTACTCCCTCCCACAAGACGGGACTCAAGATATATCCTACCTGTTTTGGTTACTTCAGGCTGCTTCAACAGAAATACCCCAAGAGAATGACCTTAACACTCAGAAGTTTAAAAGCAGCTACTCAGTTGCTCATGATAAATTCCACCACAGAGTTGATTGCCAGTCATTATAGGGACTAACTACTACTAGCCACTCAGTCAAGTTGACACACAACCTTAACTACCAAACTACCCTAAACAGGCATGGATAATAGGATTCACAGTGCATCACAAAATGGAGGACAGAGGCTAGAAGGGCCACATCAAACAATTCATCGCAACCATGCA